CCTAATCTCATTTTGTCAATTTCACAATAACATTTTCAGTTTTTTAACCGTAACTTCAGATTTTCGAACATAAACTACTCTGGAGATTTTCTTAAACGATGCGCCAATGTCTCCTCTTCAACACCTATATAGTCGTTGCCCGTCACAATCTCTTTAAAATGGTCCAAATTTTTCTTTTAGTGCCCTACCCCCCTAATCTCATTTTGTCAATTTCACAATAAAATTTTCAGTATTTTAACCGTAACTTGAGATTTTCGAACATAAACCACTCTGGAGATTTTCTTAAACGATGCGCCAATGTCTCCTCTACAACACCTATATAGTCGTTGCCAGTCACAATCTCTGGAAATTGGTCCAAAATTATCTTAAATTGGCCTACCCCCCTAATCTCATTTTGTCAATTTCACAATTTCAGTTTTTTAACCGGAACTTCAGATTTTCGAACATAAACCACTCTGGAGATTTTATTAAACGATGCGCCAATGTCTCCTCTACAACACCTATGTAATCGTTGCCCGTCACAATCTCTTGAAATTGGTCCAAAATTAACTTAAATTGGCCTACCCCCCTAATCTCATTTTGTCAATTTCACAATAACATTTTCAGTTTTTTAACCGTAACTTCAGATTTTCGAACATAAACCACTCTGGAGATTTTCTTAAACGGTGCGCCAATGTCTCCTCTTCAACACCTATATAGTCGTTGCCCGTCACAATCTCTTTAAAATGGTCCAAATTTTTCTTTTAGTGCCCTACCCCCTTAATCTCATTTTGTCAATTTCACAATAAAATTTTCAGTTTTTTAACCGTAACTTCAGATTTTCGAACATAAACCACTCAGGAGATTTTCCTAAACGATGCGCCAATGTCTCCTCTACAACACCTATATAGTTGTTGCCCGTCACAATCTCTTTAAAATGGTCCAATTTTTTCTTTTAGTGCCCTACCCCTTTAATCTCATTTTGTCAATTTCACAATAAAATTTTCAGTTTTTTAACCGTAACTTCAGATTTTCGAACATGAACCACTCTGGAGATTTTCTTAAACGATGCGCCATTGTTTCTTCTACAACACCTATATAGTCGTTGCCCGTCACAATTACTTAAAATAGGTCCAAAATTAACTTGAATTGCCCTACCCCCCAAATCTCATTTTGTCAATTTCACAATAACATTTTCAGTTTTTTAACCGTAACTTCAGATTTTCGAACATAAACCACTCTGGAGATTTTCTAAAACGATGCGCCAATGTCTCCTCTACAACACCTATATAGTCGTTGCCCGTCACAATCTCTTGAAATTGGTCCAAAATTATCTTAAATTGGCCTACCCCCCTAATCTCATTTTGTCAATTTCACAATTTCAGTTTTTTAACCGGAACTTCAGATTTTCGAACATAAACCACTCTGGAGATTTTCTTAAACGATGCGCCAATGTCTCCTCTACAACACCTATATAGTCGTTGCCCGTCACAATCTCTTGAAATTGGTCCAAAATTAACTTAAATTGGCCTACCCCCTAATCTCATTTTGTCAATTTCACAATTTCAGTTTTTTAACCGGAACTTCAGATTTTCGAACATAAACCACTCTGGAGATTTTATTAAACGATGCGCCAATGTCTCCTCTACAACACCTATGTAATCGTTGCCCGTCACAATCTCTTGAAATTGGTCCAAAATTAACTTAAATTGGCCTACCCCCCTAATCTCATTTTGTCAATTTCACAATAAAATTTTCAGTTTTTTAACCGTAACTTCAGATTTTCGAACATAAACCACTCTGGAGATTTTCTTAAACGATGCGCCAATGTCTCCTCTACAACACCTATATAGTCGTTGCCCGTCACAATCTCTTGAAATAGGTCCAAAATTAACTTGAATTGCCCTACCCCCCTAATCTCATTTTGTCAATTTCACAATAAAATTTTCAGTTTTTTAACCGTAACTTCAGATTTTCAAACATAAACCACTCTGGAGATTTTCCTAAACGATGCGCCAATGTCTCCTCTACAACACCTATATAGTCGTTCCCCGTCACAATCTCTTAAAATTGGTCCAAAATTAACTGAAATTGGCCTAACCCCCAATCTCATTTAGTCAATTTCACAATTTCAGTTTTTTAACCGTAACATCAGATTTTCGAACATAATCCACTCTGGAGATTTTTCTAAACGTTGCGCCAATGTCTCCTCTACATCACCTATAGGCAGTCGTTGCCCGTCACAGTCTCTATGAATGGGTCAACAATCAACTTAAGGTATCCCCCTTTTTGTTTTTAATTACAATTTTTTCAACCTAACTTCCGATTTTTAACATAAACCATCCTGGAGTTCGTCTTAATAGATACGCTTATGTCTCAGCTGCATCACCTATGCAGTCGTGTACCGTCACAATATCTATAAATGGGTCAAAAATCAACTTAATGTATGCCCCCTCCTCCCTTTTCGTTTTTACAATTTCAGTTTTTTAAACTTAACTTCAGATTTTTAAACATAAACCATTCTGGAGTTTGTCTTATTAGATACGATAATGTCTATGTTACCTTTACAGTCGTTGCCTGTCACAATCTCTATAAATTGGTCAAAATCTTTATGGTATCCCTTTTGTTTTAACTTTTTTATTCGTTTTTGTTTAATATTTTGAATATTCTCATAATTGTCCGCTAGGTCTCTGTAATTGTTCGCTAGCTCGAAAAAAACGTGATTGTCTTATGTGAAATTGTGGTTTTTAGTTATACCTCCTAATTGTTCGCTGGCTAATTGTTCGCTACAATTGTTCGCTAGCTTGAGTCAAGTGTAATAACATGCATGTTTTGTTAGGATGTAAAATGCGGGCATCGCCAAAATGTTGGCTGACGAATGCAAAACATTTCCTAGAATTTAATCGAAAAATCATATATGAACACAGCAAGGTGCAAATAATTCCTGAAAGTTGAAATTCAATGCTATAGAATATAAGGGTATATCACTTTAATCCTAAAATGACAATCCGTATTTTTTTACCATATTGGATGTTAGACAATTTGATTGCTTTATCAGTTGAAAATGATAAAACTGTTATTATATAGAAAGACACTGAATATTTAGCCGATTTTCAATGCTCTTCAAATTCGTACTATATTTGGCTTTTTTATTATTTTTGTTTATTCGAGCGTCACTGATGAGTCTTTTGTAAACTAAAAGCGCGTCTGGTGTACAGAATTTTAATGCTGCTATCTATGATTTTGGGTTTATTCATAGTAAAGTTTGCACAAACTGATAAGTAACATTGTTGATAAAGTTGCCTCTATTTTGTAAAAAACAACAAAATTGTTATATTTAAATTTATGTTATTTTTTAACGCCATTTTGTCCAAGGTTAGAGTTGTCTTTTTGACATTGTTCCTACATCTTTTTTATTAATATAGTATCTATATTGTGTCATAGATCAATGATCAAACTTATTCGTTCAGTGTATTTTTACTTGTTTTTATTCATATGTCTTTTTGATCGAGTTAAGCTATTTCAATTGATATTTTATTGTGTGCCTTCTTATGTTGTAATGTTACACTACTGTTTCAGGTTAGGATGAAGGTTGGCGCCTGTTAAAACGTTAAAACCCGCAGCATTTGTATGCACCTGTCTTAAGTCAGGAGCCTGTTGTTCAGTGGTTGTCGTTTGTTGGTGTGGTTCATAAGTCTTTCTCATTTCTCGTTTTTTTTTGTATAAATTAGACCGTTGGTTTTCCTGTTTGAATTGTTTTACGCTAGTTATTTTGGGGCCCTTTATAGTTTGCTGTTCGGTTTAGATAGCCGTACGTACTTTGACCTATAGTTGTTTACTTTTTATACATTGTGACTTGGATGGAGAGTTGTCTCATTAGCACTCATACCACATCTTCTTATTTATATCAAACCAATCACTCTTTTTATATATAAAAACTGTGCATTGGTCTATATATGTTTCTTTCTCCTCATAATGGAATTGTTCGTCCGCTGTTATAATATGCATAAAAAGTATAACAAAAATACCGAACTCTAAGAAAAATTCAAAAAGGGACAGTTCATAAAAACTGACAAAATAAAACGTTACTGACTTTAACAACCAACGGAACGAATGGAAAACAACTGTCTATTTCTGACTTGGTACAGGCATTTTCCGAAGAAAATGGTTGGTTTAAACTGGTTTTATAGCTAGCTAAATCTCCCACTTGAGACAACAATCTCCCACAACACAAACAGACATAATAGGTTAATGCATGTGTTTAGTCCTACTACCTAAAAAGATATACATAAATAGGAATCCAGTCAAAAAATACTTATTGTAAAACATATAGGCGATTCAGATTTGATGACATGCTTCGTTCATTGAGATTCATCAACATTCGAAAACGGCGGGACACAAATGACATATATCAAAGCTTAACATGGTAGAGGTTATATCAACTAGAGGAATCTCTATACTTCAGCCCCATCAACTAGAGGTTACAATTTTAAGCTTTTCAAGAAACGGTGAAGGACAATATGTAAAAATGAATACCTCATATCTATTCGGCAAATATCACCAATGGACTGACTGGCGTTGAGAAATGTTGTCATTCCTTGATTTCTCCAGTCTGGCAGTAAATAACTATGCTAAAGAGGGCGTCTTTTCGGGATGTACGTGCTGTATTGTCGCGCAGCCACATACTGTCAGAATAGGAAAGGAAAGTAGGACGCACCCTGCACGGTCAGGAACCTTTCAATAACTCTTGGACGGGTCCAAATGTACAAGGTACAATTTCTTCCCAATATACAACATGATCTTATTTTTCAGTAGCAGTCGAATTTCCCAGCCTTCGTCCTGGTCGACCCACTTTACAGAACTTACATGCCTACTGGATAGTTTGTTAATGTGCCTGGTCCTAAATATGCATGATATGTTTTCCACTGGAGGTTAAGCAAGCAACAACAAAACCGTCACTCAAACTTTAATTAATATTTCCATAGTAAAGTTTCTCATTTCACCACCTGTTTTCTTTGTAGATATGTTCATTTAGTCTGTGTATCGGTTTTCCTTTCAAGTTGCCACATCACATTCAACCTTCTCATCGTAAGTATGTCCTCTTAGAGTATTGCATTGTATTGTGCTTAAAAACAAGCGGGAGCTAAAGCTTTTGATAAAAAGTGTATCATTTTTGGAAAGATTATAACTTTGGTTCCGATTCTTTCCTATTGCAACCTCTCTAACCAGGATGTAGCCGTGTTTAACACTTCATCTACATACATTGAAATATAGTTCCCAACACGTCTAATGTTTATGTCTTAAAGGCAAGTTAATGGGATGATGATTCACCTGTAACCTTTTCATGATTTTTGACTAGCCGTCATCATGGTATTACTTAATATTTAATACTTAAAAACATCTCAATGGGATGATGATTCATCTGTAACCTTTTCATGATTTTTGACTAGCCGTCATCATGGTATTACTTAATAATATTCATTTGACCGCGTGTAGCTTAAAAGTTCAGTTAGATTTAGGGAACGCTATATTTGTTTTAGAAAAAGGGTTCTATCCAAAATAATTTATTATAACTCGAAGAAAAGCAAAAAACACAATAGCTATATGAAAACGACAATCACGAGTCCTCAAAGCAATACAAATAAATGTATAGATTAAGCTACACAAATCTCACAAAGTGCCAGGAGTGAGGTATGATAATTTGCAAAGTTCTTTAACAGATATCAAGATATAGAGTGTTCAAAATTATCTTGGTTTTTAACTACACCAAATCGAATGACATTTATAAAGCTTATTATCAAACTACTCACGCACACCTCTCTGTTCTCCCAACAAGGTTACAATTTCGTCCAATTACCCGCATTGGAGCAGTTTTGGGCCGATTCGCTCCTAGCACATTTATTACGTTTAAATGTTCAGGAATCGATAGATTTAAGTTTACAAAAAAATATATTTAAACGATATAAATTTATTTTATGTCGGATATGGTGTGATAGTTTTGATTCGAAATTCACGAAAATTTCAGTTTTCAGTGTAAGGCAACAATTTATTTGGATAAAGTTCAAGATGAAGATCGAGATAAGAGTAAAATAGAAAATCTCCCATGAAATAAATTTCTGTTGACGTGAATATGGAAGAGATTCATTCTGTATCATGGGTTTTTTTCATGAGTTAAGTTATTATGTTTAATCATGAAACATGCAAGTTTTGATTTATATGGTCATATTTGTAAATTAACTGATTACAAAACTATGGATTGTATAACCCATAAATAGATTACCTCAGCTGTACATGTACTTGACAATTTTTTAACCTTTCGGAATTTTCGGTCCTCAATGCTCTTCAACTAAGTACTTCATTAGTATGGACTTTTCCCTTTTTTTATTCGAGCGCCACTGAGGAGCATTTATTAGACGAAACGCGCGTCTGGCTTACAAAACTATACGCTTGGTATCTTTGACAAAGAATTTCAATAAGACAGAAACACATAAACATAATTAACCTTGGAATATCTATGAATATAAACATTTTGTTTACATTTCTATAAATTTACACCATTTTTGTTTTTATAGCTAAACATGGGTGTGATATTTGTGCCGATATAGTCTTTCTGTTCGACGACTCTTCATCTATACCAGTAGCAGATCCACACGGATTCCATAAAATGAAAGATTTCATGGTGGCAGTTGTCCAATCGTTCAGTAATTTTGGTCCTCCAAATGGGGTCCAGGTTTCCGTGGTATTGGTAGCCCACACTGTCAGAAATTATTTTTACCTTAACAACTTCACCCACGAAGCAGACATAGTGCACAATATGAAAATTTTCCCCGAAATTAAAGGTAGTGCCACGGCGATAGGTGAAGGATTAAAGGTAAGTATCGCCGATCTTTTGTCTGTCACATTCCTACATCACTTTAGTTAAAGATCATATTTTGTAAATATTGTTTAATCTCTTTCAGCAATGAAACGCTTAAGTAATGGTTCTGATACAAAAAAATCATTGAGGGTGTTGCTAAATTCCATTAAGTAGGTGGACATTACTTTCTTAACAACCGACTCAAAAATGCCAAGTATTCCGCTTGGCGACCCTTATCTTATTGTTTTTACTAAACACCCACTTGCGTATACTAAAGTATGAACTGAGATGAATATTCACCAAAAGAAAAATCCATAAGCGCTTCTTCAAAAAAAGATAGTTTTTTGGTTTTTTTATTTTTATTTTTTTTAAATCTAATGCCATTTAAAGGTTGATATTGGATCTGTATTCATTGGTTAAACATCAAAATTAAAATCTTGATACGATTTGACGTTAAGTCGAAATACCGGTTGAAAAAATAACAATGAAAAATTCGTTTCTGATTAATGTCGTAAACAACAGTGAAACCAGAGTGTTTCTATAAAAAATGTAATAACAAAAATACCGAACTTAATGAAAATCAAAAAGGGAAAATTCCATAATAGCTAATAAACCAAACGTTCGACTTTATCAACAAACGGTGCGACTGGATCAACTATCATATAAAAGCATAGATAAAAAAATAAATAAATAAATAAGCAATGGATAACGCATTCAACCCTGAATATCTAATTTATTTCGGATAAGAGTGTAACTATACCGGTGGTATCAGTGTTATACATAATTGCATGTACTAAATCGTTATTACAGTTTGTGCGAGAGAAAAGTTTCCTACCAAAATTTGGAGGAGAACGTCTATGTGCTGACAAATTTCTCATACTTCTTACTGATGGAAAACATAACCTTGGAGCCCTGCCAAAACCACAAGCTGAGGCACTGAAGGACGAAGGTGTTACCATATTTGTAATTGGTGTTGGACCGAAGGTGTTGATGTCGGAATTACTCGCTATCGCCTCGAAACCAGAATATGTTTTTAATGTTACTGATTTTAACCAGTTGGCTGCTATTAACGATAGAATTGTAGATGATGCATGTAAAGTGGCAAGTAAGTCGTTTCTCAGTATAATAGACGACCTTCACATTCGTGCATTTTGCCGTACATGTTCTTATGTCACAATGCTTATGTTAGTACATCACAGTAATGGTTGATTGTTCAATGACGTCATGAACTTGGGTCAACCGGCGTAACTTATTCATTAAACAGAACTCACAAATGGTCTAGAATTTTAATCTTAATGTGAAAAATATATCTCAAACCAAGGATTTGTATAGTGAGACTATACAAATCCTTGCTCAAACACAATAGACTATTTTCATATTACTGACTTTTGACTCCGGATTATATAATTTGTCGACTGGTTACCTTGGACATCATGGTACCAAGTCAGGTAAGAGCAAGCTAAAGAAGTAGAATCACGCGTTCAATCGGTACAATTTTGGGGCAAAATTATTCGCTTAACATTTTTTTTTCACTTCAAAATCATCGGAAAACAGTAAACTTTCCCCTCAAATTACACCGATTATATGTTTGATTTTACTTATTTTGGTTGCTCTTACTTGACCGAGTACCATGATGTCCAAGGTAACCAGTCGACAAATTATATAATCCGGAATCAAAAGTCGTTAATATGAAAATAGTCTATTTTCCCTTTACTTGTGACTTACTTTTAGCTTTTAAATGATGTATATTACTAGTATGTATGCATTAATTAGAATGGACAATTCCCAGGAACTCGCCAAGTTATATTAAAATGAGCTCGAGTGCTTGCAGGGTGCTAAACGTCCAGTGACATATATATGTTATGCATACTCAGGATGAAAACACATCAATTGACCGTGCTTGTAATCATGGTGCTTTCCACGCTTAAACTTCATACCAAATGCATTTCGGTCAACGCATGTACATACCAATATTACACATAAAGGATCTTACAAACAACCACACAAACATGCAATAAAGTATCGATCATATACCCAACACTAATACAAATCGAAAGGATTTATATCGGTCTAACCCATATGAAATAAAAGCAACACCATACTATACTGAAAATGTTTTTTTTTTTGTAATAATGATAACTCTTTTTTTTTATTAAAACAGAAGACAGCAAGCTTACCCCACAGCCCTGTAGCCTGGAACAGATTTCAAAAACATTAATTCCTTATGGTAAATTTCATTTCTTTTTCTTTCCACTGTTGTATACCTTTTGTACGCATAGATAGAGATGATCAAAATTATTGACCTTGTCCTTTACTGTGTAGTAAATGGTTTTATTTCGGCTCAGTATAGCATTGTTGTGGGTAACAGATGATTTTACTTTTGTAGACGAAACGCGCGTCTGGCGCAAATACAAAATTTCAATCCTGGTATCTATAATGAGTTTATTTACACCTGCCACAGTACAAAAATTCAGATATTTCTACGTCTTTTTCCGTTTTGACTGACAAATTTGGGACAGAATTGACATTTTTATGAATGTTTACATTATACCAATGTTTACGGATAAAATCGTTTTTCAAACATATTTTAACAAACTATAACAACGTGTCCAGTAAAGTTTTCCAAAAGCACTTGTTGAACCTTTTCGCATGGAGTGGCTCATATATAAAAGATGATCGTCTTGACTTTGAGGATGCCAATTGCACATATTATCGGTCTAATATCTTGAAAATATCCGGTAAAAACTTGAAATTTGCAGAGAAAGTCTGGATCTACTTAAACAAAAATGCATCCAACGAAATTATCAGGCGAAAAGTTATTGGATTTTTTACCCATTTGATTTGCAATCAAAAAAGTTAACTATGAAACTGCTTACTTTAGGGTGGCATGAATCAGATGCAGATACAACAAGTTCCAAAGATCTTTCAGACAAACTCTTTCCTCTTGCAATTGTACAAAAACCCATTTAACTTTTCTTCCCTTTGCAGTATTTTGCATAACTTTTAGGAGTTTGGGGTTTTTAATACTCTTCAACTTCGTTTTTGATTCGAGCGTCACTGATGAGTTTGTTGTTGATGAAACGCGCATCTGGCGTGCAAAATTATTAGCGTTGTATCTTTGAAGAGTTTTACAATGGCTGGCTCGATATCACTGCTTGTGAATGTTTCGTCCTCCCGAAAGTAGCATTCAATACTAGTACATTCTACAAAAAGACATATCAAATAATGTATCAGACCACATTAATATACCCGTATGTATGACAACAGATAATTTACGATTCATCCTGCAGGTTTAAAATTTAACTACATTACCTATCCATATATATACAAGATAAAACGATAGACAAAATTATGAAATATCAGGATAATGTTTTTTGTTTGTGTAGAGAAAAAAAACATATGATGCAATTTTTGTGCGCACAGACAACCTCCAATACTTAAACTGTTTAGAAAGTCCCCCCTACAAATGAGAGTACAAAATATCTGATTAACAGAAAGGCTAAATCTGTCTAAGGTCAGCTCTGCCTTGTGAATTTTCATTCTTTTATCTTTTATGCAATAACATGCATAATTCTATGACTTATCTTTCATTAAATATTTGTGTTTTGTAGGTTACGCTTTAGTACCTGTGTTTTATCCGTTAACAAAAAAGAAAATGTCATGGCCTCCAGCATTTCAAGGACTTGACCAGCTTGACAATGAGCACCATCTACCTTGGTTGACACACAACGAACATAGTCACAAACACGGAGGACGGTGGGATAAATGAACAAAGGAAGAGAGCATATGATAAAGATGTATATTAAAATTAATAATTTGTACTATATGTTTTACTTTTCATTTATAAGTTTCCAGCGTTTAAAAATTGTACTTAAACTTAAGTAGCAGTAGATAATATTTCTCTAAAAACACCACACTTGTATATATAATGGAAAACAAAAAATTAAGATATAATTTCACTCTTCTAAGTAATTATTTACTAACGACGACTGTGTGTAGTGATTAACTTTATGCCATCTATGCTTATTTTAATATGGGTAGACATTATATTTATACCCCCGCTTTAAAAAAGTGGGGGTATACTGTTTTACCTCTGTCTGTCCATCCGTCAGTCCGTCCGTCAGTCCATCCGTCCATCCGTCAGTCCGTCCTGCCGTCCCATAAATATATTCGTCGCATATTTCTCAGGAACTACAATACAAGGATTTCTGAAATTTGGTTTCAGGGTTTATATAAGTCAGCTATACCGTGTGATACATTTTCAGATTCATCACTCAACAACTTCCTGTTAACCGAACACTTGTATCATTTTACACACGATAGCCAAGTTGAAAATTTTCGTCACAATTTTCTCAGGAACTATAATATAAGGATTTCTGAAATTTGATTTCAGGGTTTATATAAGTCAGCTATACCGTGTGATTTCCCCGACCTTCATCCCGGACGGCCTCTATTACAGGACTACAGTACATGTTGTATGTTGTATTTATTGTTAATTTTTCTCGTCTTGAAAATGCATGTCATATTTTCCACTGGACGTAAAGCAACCAAATCAATCAATCTTTTAAGTGCTTAAGTGTAATGTGCCCACTTAGTAGACGTATTAGGTGAAACACTGTTAAACTGCTACTCGTAATGAACTTTACCTCAGATATGACAAAAACGAGATACCGGGTCAACGTCAAAGAGACAAGAACAATTACAACAGTAGTTTTGTATGCCCTGTATTATGCAACTAGGAGTTATAAATGCATAACGTATATATTGTTTAAGAAATAATTCATGGAAGCCATAGATTTGTTGGAAATTTACACATGGCCTGGGCCGTGATATTCGAATTTTATCCTGAGCGTTAGCGAGAGATAAAATTAACGAATATCACGGCCCAGGCCATGTGTAAATTTATAACAAATCTATGGCTTCCATGAATTATTTCGATTCTAATAGGACAAATACGGTCATTAAAAAACTGAAGCGGGGGTGGGTTCGCCGTGTGTGTGGTTGTTCCTTTTTACTCCCTGTTAGATAAAGCTATAACATTCTAATAAATCTGTAGCTTGCATGAATTATTTCGTAAACAACCGCCAGAAAAAAATGTGTTTAGTTCTTTTAATTATCAAATCCTACATTTGCCATTTTTTATTAACTTGTTTTTCTCGTAAGCTACCGTCAAATCCTTAGTTGACATTTCGTAACTAAGGAGCCGCCATGTTGACTTACTGAAATTCGTTAATATGCAAATAATGCAATAGGATAGAAAATAAAACAAACCCTACCACAAAAATTCATTTTAATGCAATTTTATACGAACTTCGATGGTTCACGTAACGGAAAACCTTCAGCTTTAGCGATTTCATTTGTATAACGTCATGTTTTGAAATGACTTAAATGCGCCAAAAGCATTAATGGACTTTCGCGGAATTTTATTTTATTTTTGTTTTATAGATTTCTCTGAGCTCTAGTGCATTAATTCTTTTTGTTATGCATCCGAATAAGAATAGAAGTCTGTAGTCTTTTTTCTATTGCAATTTTTAAAACAATAAAATCGGAATAGCGTTTGCAAATAGGTTCCGATACATGTGGATTTACGTAGGAGGTATTTTGTAACATCCATTATTATGTATATCTCTGAGTCTGCGCTAAGTATAGATATATCGAGTATTTTATCACGGTGTTGTTTACAAAGCGAAAGCAGCACGTCATATTAGAATAGTTGTTTAACATCCAACTCGCCGTTTCGTAAATGACTATGGATAATCTCGTTGTTCGTACACCAAAAACTTTACGTCATTGGTTAAATTTCCGTTGTATAGGACGTGTTTAACTAATCATAACGTTTTGGTGTACGCTTTTGAAAATATTACCCAGAATACAGTAGATTCTGATACGGCGAATTGTAAAATGTACTATACGCAAAATATATATAAGGTACCGAGTTTTTTAAAACCACAATAACAAATTAAAGTATGCAATACTTTTCGCTAATGAGGGTCTGAATGGAATGTACAGAATAGAGAATAATGGACAAAAGGTGAAGAATATAGGGTGAAATAAATACAGAATTGGGGAAAATAGACAAACAAATAATAAAACGAGAATAATTGGTAAAATAGAGAAAAAATAGAGAGAAAAAATGTTTAAAGAATTAAAGCATAAAAAAATGAAAGAAACACCATCCAGACCCTCACTGTTGGTTGTTTAAACACCATCTTGACCCTCACTGTTGGTTGTTTAAACACCATCATGACCCTCACTGTTGGTTGTTTAAACACCATCCAGACCCTCACTGTTGGTTGTTTTAACACCATCCTGACCCTCACTGTTGGTTGTTTAAACACCATCCAGACCCTCACTGTTGGTTGTTTGTTTGTATTTGCTGCATCCTGACCCTCACTGTTGGTTGTTTGTTTGTATTTGCTGGTATTTGGTATTACTTGTATAATGCACTTTTGTAGATAAAGTTGGTGTACTTGTATTCTCTTTCAAGGTTTTTTTCAACCTAGAAAATAAATATTTGATTGACACTGAAAAGAACATTCAATTGAAATAATTCTATAATAATAGTTTTATTAATAACTATTATCAAGCTATCTGTGACAAAGAAGTATGGTGGTACCTAACATTACTTAAACTTCTTATGTCTTATTAGAACATCATGTGTCAATCTTATCTCTATAGACTAGGTCAAATAAAGTCAACAAAAGGAAACATGAATTTAATAATATGTAAGTATTTACTATAGATAATATCGAAAATTTGGGGATATACCTAGGGACAAATATATTATTTTAGGTCGACAAAAGATCAGTAACGTCGTGGCAAAACACGCACAATCGTGTATGGTTGAATTCAGCTAAAATGTTCCGAACTAAAATAATTTTAGTTCATTTATATGTTTTGGAGTTTAGTGTGACTTCCATTTTCACTGAATTAGTACACACTTTTATTTAGGGGCCACCTGAGGACCACCTCCGGGTGCAGGATTTTCTCGCTGCGTTGAAGACCTTTTTGTGGCATTCGGCTGTTGTCTGCTCTTTGGTCGGGTTGTTGTCTCTTTGACATATTCCCCATTTCCATTATCAATTTTATCAAACTACAACAACCGTGCCAATATTGAATGATTAGATATATAGGGTGCAAATGAAATCCGTTCAAACCGGTGCTAGGGTCGTCAGGCACTTGGCAGTGAAATGAACCAATTTTTTATGAATGTTGAGGCCTCGATGTGACTTTGAGATGAACAACAGTAATAATAACACTGTGTTTTTGCTTTTTGTTTTTTCTTGTGCGCTTTTTGTGATCATATACACTGTATTCTTTCTTTTACACCACGTTAAAATAAAAAGATTAGCGAATTACATGCCAACACTTTGTTTTAGTTATTTGCAATTTATCAGATTTAAGATTTCATTTCACCTCAGGACCGTACACCACCACCTCGTGTACAGCAAAATGGACGCCGCCAGGTTTTATTCCAGAATGGATAATGTACATGTAACCGATTATGTACCGGCTTCCCTTAAGAGTAAAGACAAGACGGGGGAAACACATATGCGTTATATATGTATCTATAATCCTGAGACTATCCAATGAATAAAGGATGCTTGTTCGCTATATACTTAGATTGCTTGACTGATGGCGGTGATTTAACGCCTGGTTAGTAAACATGGTATTTGTCGGAGAGAACAGTTTGTTATAAAATTCACCCAATTAAATGTATGACATACTTGCCAATTAATAGTGTTATTTAAAACAATATAATTACTATTATCTAAAATTTGCAAAGTGGTAAATATAATTTTATCTTTTGTATTGGATAAGTTATGCTGAATATATTTTCTAGGTCTCGTCTGCTACATTATCTTCGGTTCAGGAAATGCAGGTCAGTTTATATTTGTTTTATGTTAAACATATTTTAGTTTATCCATAAACAACTCTAATAACGATTAAGTGGGTTTTTTCTATTATATTCTGATCCTGTAGTTTTGGTAGTATTTATAGGTGTTTGCTTTTTGTTTGGAATTACTTTTTAGTTAATTTGTAACGTCATATTAGATAAAACTATTTTCATATACATCAAATTAAAAAAAAAATGAATAAAGGTATTAATGAAAAATTAATATACCAAGGAGGCATATAAAAGGGTCTGTGTATTCTTTAATTTTTATGCCATTTTTCCCTATTCTTTATACTTTTTGACAATTATTCTGTATACTTTATACTTTAGCACCTCATTATTATCTATTCTTTTATTTTTTGTCAGTTTGTCTCTATTCTTTATATTTTTTGCCCATTATTCTCTATTCTGTAAACCCCATTCCACACCCTCATATAAACATCCAGAGAGAGTGATGGACAGAAAACGCCGTATCTGTACAAGGAAAAAGACTAAAAGACGGAACTTTACACATAAAACTAAAGAATAAGTAATGCAGCAGGAATCCAATCATACATGTGTAATACCGCGAACTCAGATACCGCGGAATGGTAAAATGTTCTTATGCTTAAATGCGTAATGTGACATATAAAAATTGTAATACGGCCCGCTGGAGTCAAAGAGTAATCAAAACATAATAACACCATTATACAAAACACAATGTAAAACGTTTAAGATTTGTAAGATTACCTTACAAGTGTCGAGGTTATTTCCAACTTCACTTAAAAAATCAAGAAACCTTTAACATCAGTATAGATGAAACATGTATAAGAGTCACATTCTTAACCAGACTCAAGCTAGCGAACAATAAGCCAGCGAACAATAAGGTGTATCAAGCTAGCGAACAATAAGCCAGCGAACAATAAGAAATACGCACCAAACTGATCTTGCCTAAAAACCGAAGAATTGCAATAACATGAAACGTTCTTTGAAATCTAATGACAATCATTTCCAGTAGGAAGACGAAATGCAATACATTTTCAAAAAGACTATTAATTGAAAACTGTTTATTTATTTATTTATTTATGTATATATTCAAGACAACATAATTGTTCTTGACCACAGGACATCTCTTGTAGGATTTTCAAAATTCCTTTTAGGTTCTCCTCTCCCTTTTTTGATTACGTTTGAGTAGAAACGGTTTGTCTTTATAATCATGATGATAGTGAATAAATAAAAAAATTACACCATACTTAACTAGTGTAAAGATAAAATTAAAGTACAGAATTTTGCAGTCAGAATTATAAGTTGAAATAAAAGCTAATAAATATCCACAGTTTTCGTTAGGAATGATTGAAAACTGGCAATTTATTTATTACATTTCAATAGGAAATGTGTTTTATGTGACAATGACACACGTGACACGATATCTGAATGGATATAAAGATTTAAGCTACTTTAACCGACAAAATTTTCAAATCAAAGCTTTTCAAGGAGGCATATTTAAAAAAAACTCGGGAAACAGACGGAAAAAACCGAAATCAGAAGAACAATTTCTTTACACTGATTTAAATTAACAAGAAGAGGATGCAATCACAACAATACAAACTATTTCATTTTAACATTTGAATTATAATCGGGGAAACGGTCCAAAATTGGGATAGGGTGACCCAACCCCCTCCCTTCTTTAATTCATAAAAAAGTCCCTACGGCAAAGCTTTTGTCCACACTAGGTACAAATGATAGGCAATTGCCTAAGGTTGCCTGGACCAAAGACCCAGGTGGGTAAAGTTACGGAACTTTTTTAATTGAGGTCCAAAGTTGGGGTAGGGTGAACCAACCCCCTCCCTTCTTTAATTCATAAAAAAGTCCCTACGGCAAAGCTTTTGTCCACACTAGGTACAAATGATAGGCAATTTCCCAAGGTTGCCTGGACCCAAAGACCCAGGTGGGTAAAGTTACGGAACTTTTTTAATTGAGGTCCAAAGTTGGGGTAGGGTGACCCAACCCCCTCCCTTCTTTAATTCATAAAAAAGTCCCTACGGCAAAGCTTTTGTCCACAATAGGTACAAATGATAGGCAATTGCCCAAGGTTGCCTGGACCAAAAGACCCAGGTGGGTAAAGTTACGGAACTTTTTTAATTGAGGTCCAAAGTTGGGGTAGGGTGACCCAACCCCCTCCCTTCTTTAATTCATAAAAAAGTCCCTACGGCAAAGCTTTTGTCCACACTAGGTACAAATGATAGGCAATTGCCTAAGGTTGCCTGGACCCAAAGACCCAGGTGGGTAAAGTTACGGAACTTTTTTAATTGAGGTCCAAAGTTGGGGTAGGGTGAACCAACCCCCTCCCTTCTTTAATTCATAAAAAAATCCCTACGGCAAAGCTTTTGTCAACACTAGGAACAAATGATAGGCAATTGCCCAAGGTTGCCTGGACCTAAAGACCCAGGTGGGTAAAGTTACGGAACCTTTCTAATTGAGGTCCAAAGTTGGGGTAGGGTGACCCAACCCCCTCCCTTCTTTAATTCATAAAAAAGTCCCTACGGCAAAGCTTTTGTCCACACTAGGTACAAATGATAGGCAATTGCCCAAGGTTGCCTGGACCCAAAGACCCAGGTGGGTAAAGTAACGATACTTTTTTGATTGAGGTCCAAAGTTGGGGTAGGGTGAACCAACCCCCTCCCTTCTTTAATTCATAAAAAAGTCCCTACGGCAAAGCTTTTGTCCACACTAGGTACAAATGATAGGCAATTGCCCAAGGTTGCCTGGATCCAAAGACCCAGGTGGGTAAAGTTACGGAACCTTTTTAATTGAGGTCCAAAGTTGGGGTAGGGTGACCCAACTCCCTCCCTTCTTTAATTCATAAAAAAGTCCCTACGGCAAAGCTTTTGTCCACACTAGGTACAAATGATAGGCAATTGCCCAAGGTTGCCTGGACCCAAAGACTCAGGTGGGTAAAGTTACGGAACTTTTTTAATTGAGGTCCAAAGCTGGGGTAGGGTGAATCAACCCCCTCCCTTCTTTAATTCATAAAAAAGTCCCTACGGCAAAGCTTTTGTCCACACTAGATACAAACGATAGGCAATTGCCCAAGGTTGCCTGGACCCAAAGACCCAGGTGGGTAAAGTTACGGAACATTTTTAATTGAGGTCCAAAGTTGGGGTAGGGTGACCCAACCCCCTCCCTTCTTTAATTCATAAAAAAGTCCCTACGGCAAAACTTTTGTCCACACTAGGTACAAATGATAGGCAATTGCCTAAGGTTGCCTGGACCCAAAGACCCAGGTGGGTAAAGTTACGGAACTTTTTTAATTGAGGTCCAAAGTTGGGGGTATGTCACCTTTTTAATTTAATTCATAAAAAAAGTTGCGCACCATACATTGATAGATAATATAGTTCTCAAGCCTTTAACAAAAAGAAAAACGAAATCCGCTTTTTCAAGAAAAAATCAATTTACAAACACTTTTGTCTTGAAAGGTAATCATTTACATAGTTTTTACATTGTCTATACGTTTATTCTACAAAAAATGTTATTTTAGGAAGTACGGAAAGCCATTTCACACAACACATAATTTATAGTTGAAAAGTTGATAAAATAACAGGGAATGTTGTTTACACTTTTATATGTAAATCGGGAATGGACGGTCTCTGCTGGAGACATAGGAAGCAATCGCGCCAACAGGACGATGACGAGAACATCCCAATCGTAGGCAAAATTGTGGTAAAAGAGACCATGAAGGCATTCCGTCAAATAGCTAAAGATAAGGGTCTGAGGGGTCCAGCAGGATGTCGAAGAAAAAGTTGGTCAAACTAATCGAGGAGAAAACCAACTGAAAATTTGCCCGCGAAGAGGTCTTCACAAAGAAGGAGCTGAAGGCCATCGCCAAAAGACGTGAAATCACCAAATATTCCAGACTAAGAAGAGCCGCCCTAACCGACCTGGTGAAGAAGGATATCGAAAATGCCCCATTGGAAGACGAGATCAAGGTAGTTGACCGACGCGATGCATTGAAAGGAGTTTTTGGCACAGTCAGAATTAACCCGCTCCAGCAGCATGATTTGGAAACGTTTTTCCAGGTAAGTCGCAGCACCATCTCCAGGACAATCGAAGATGCCCCCACCCGAAAGAAGGGCTTGAAGGTACAGCTAGTGCTGAAAGTGGAGCTGGTTAAAACGAATCCCGCGACTGGGGGGAACACCTACGTCATTCCTTACTTCAGATCAGCCCAGACAGTCATCACCGAATCAGCAGACCTCGACTTCGAGATTGCGGTTATGGTAGGGAAGATCAAGGAAAGCATGTCAAGGTATATGCGTGAGGGTAGTGGATGGACCTTCGCCCACATCGAGCAGCTAGAGATCCACCTGAACGAATTTAAGCCACTTATGGGCAGCTCCCACATACCACTCCCAAAGCCACTCGCTCAGAAGAAGGCCGTCATCAACATCCAAAACCAAGATCAGGAGTGCTTCCGCTGGGCCATTCTCTCAGCCCTACATCATGGGGAAGTCGATTCGAAGTCTACACACCGCGTAAGCCAGTACAAGCAGTGGGGGGGGGGGATGAGCTAAAATTCGATGATATTGACTTTCCAGTATCCCTCAAGGCGATCGATAAATTCGAGAGGCGGAATGCAGAACTTAACATCAACGTCTTTGGCTATGATGGTCTGAAGAAGGGTGAGGATGGAGAAGAGGACCTCCAGATATATCCCCTAAGGATATCCAAGAACACCGGCGCGCAGCACGTAGATCTCCTTTTCCTAACCAGCGATAGCAAGCATCATTACTGCTGGATCAAGAGCACACTCTGCCACATTTGCGATGGCGCATTGGGTGAGGATAAGGTACGGGATCACGATCACCTCACGGGTAGGTATCGCGGCGCCGCACACAACCAGTGCAATCTTGACTTCCAGCTCCCCAAATACGTGCCCATCGTCTTCCACAACCTGAGTGGGTACGACGCCCACCTTTTCGTGAAGGAATTAGGATTCGGGGAAGGGAAGATCACCTGCATCCCCAACACCGACGAGAAGTACATTAGCTTCTCCAAGAAGGTGGGAGACCTTGAGATGAGGTTCATTGACTCCATGCGATTTATGCTCAGCTCTCTCGAAGCCTTGGCATTGAATCTTACTAAGGACAAATTCAACGCGACGCAGAAGTGCTTTGGCGACCGCTCCGAACTGATGCTTAGGAAGGGGGTATATCCCTACGATTATATGGATAGGCCCGCCAAGCTGGAGGAAACGCAGATACCGCCCAAGGAAGAATTTTTCAGCAGACTCTATGACACGCACATCAGCGATGAGGAGTACGAGCACGCGCAGCAGGTCTTCGAGAAATTCAGCTGTCGGACGATGCAGGACTATCACAATCTCTACCTGGAGAGCGACGTAGCAATATTGGAAGATGTTTTCGAAGATTTCAGGGATATGTGCATCAAACACTACAAGCTCGACCCTGCACACTACTTCACATCTCCAGGGCTAGCTTACGACGCGGCGCTAAAATTTACTGGGGTCCGACTGGAACTCCTCTCAGATCCGGATATGCTGTTGATGTTCGGAAATGCGACTAGGGGAGGTGTGGCCATGATTTCCCATCGACTTGGTAAGGCTAACAATCCGTATATGAGCAATTACGATCCAGCACAACCCACCAAGTATCTGACTTATCTGGACGCGAATAATTTGTACGGGTGGGCCATGACGCAACCCCTACCTACAGAATGTTTCGAATGGTTGGAATCGGAAAAGATTGAGGCCGTCTTAAACTTCCCCGACGATCATAGAGCTATGGTGGAATGTGAACTAGAGTAACCCCATCACCTCCACGATGATCATAACGACTACCCTTTGGCGCCGGAGACCATGGAGATCGGTGGGGTGCGTAAACTGGTGCCTCATCTAGGCAAACGTGAAAAATATACCCTTCACATTCGTAACCTCAAGTACTATATCTCCCAGGGGGCGGTGTTAAAGAAGGTCTACCGCATCATTGGGTTCAACCAATCTTCATGGCTCAAACCGTATATCGACAAAACACCGAACTCAGAGCCGTGGCCAAGTCCGACGCCGAGAAAGATTTCTTCAAGCTCATGAATAATTCGGTCTTCGGCAAGACCATGGTAAATATCCGCAAGAGGGTCGATGTCCGGCTGGTCACCAACGAGAAGCAGGCGCTGAAGCTCGTGGCCAAGCCCAACTTCGATCGTCGGGTCGTCTTCACCGAGAACCTGGCAGCCGTCCATATGAAGAAGACGAAGCTCAAGTTCGATAAGCCCGTCTACCTGGGATATTTCGAAGATCCTGATGTATGACTTCCACTACGGATTCGTGCGGAAGATGTATGGCGACGACGCCCGGCTGCTTTTCACCGACACCGACAGCTTGGCCTACGAGATCCGAACCGAGGATTTCTACAAGGATATCGCTCCCCACGTCCAGGAGAAATTCGACACGTCGAACTATCCGGCCGACCACCCCTCCGGAATTCCGGTCGGTGCAAATAAGAAGATCATCGGCATGTTTAAGGACGAGTGCGGTGGCAAGAGCATGACCGACTTTGTGGGACTCCGGCCGAAGCTGTACGCCTACAAGATGGATGACGGCGCCGCCACCAAGAGAGCCAAAGGAGTCGCGAAGACCACCATCAAGCGCAACATCACCTTCGACGACTACAAGAGATGCCTCGACACGCAGCAGGAGGTCTTCAAGTCCATGAATATTATCCGCAGCCACCTCCACCAGATCTACACCCAGGAGATCAACAAGGTCGCCCTCTCTGCCAAGGATACCAAGCGCCATATCCTACCCGACGGCATCAGCACCCTCGCCCACGGACACTATCGAATCCCTGACGCCCGTAACTGAGGTGAGACCCTTTGCAATAAGCAGGCTCTGACGGGTGCGGATGCCATCTCTCCTCTTCTGCACTTGGCAGTCTTTGACGGGTGTGAATGCCCATACCTTAATAAATGAGCAGCATACGCATGCACGACATCCTCCTCCCCCACAAGCCCCTGTCAAATAAGGAATTGGAAAGAGCCGTCACAGCCCTAGGAATCGCAAGTTTCAGAGGGGTGTTCATGCGAGATACCCTACCACCCAGCCCGCACCGCATCGAATGTGGAATCTTGAATCACGATAGCTGGGAAGGTCCTGGAACGCATTGGACTTGCTGGTACAAGCGCGGACCGACAAAGTATTACTTTGACTTTTATGGATTGCCACCGCCTGACGAGATGGTAGACTATTTACAGCTGAGATCCGATACAGCACCGATGAACTGCAGAAGCGAGGGGATGTGGTGTGTGGTCATTTTTGCCTGTACGTGTTGAAGATGCTGGCGGCCGGAAAGTCGCTGGAGGACGCAGTCTTCTCACTCTATAAATAAATGGATAAGTTTGGATCCCATGCAAGAAAGCGTGCATCCCTTCGGCGAATGCTACAGGATTTGGATATGAACGACAATCGCATTTCTAGCCTAGGACATCCAAAACAGCTCGGATGCTGTGACAAAACGGTGGGTAACCCAACAAATGAAAGATGGTATAAAAGACATCAATGACATAGAGGCTGCGCTTGAAGCAATCTCGAAAGAGCTCGAGGCGATGAAAAAACACCTGAACGGTCTCGAGAAAGATGTGGCGAAGTGTTTGCCTATGGCCGGCGGTATGATGAGTGGTGCCCTAGATATGCAGGGACACTCGATCGTATCGTTAATCTTCCAGAGGGGTGGCGGCACATGAACCGGTGACCAAAGGATGGTATGCAAAGAACTATGTGGATCTAAGCATGGCGGTTCAAGAGAAAATCAACACCATCGAACAGAAGGTGAAGTCTTATCACACGACGGACAGGAGCCGGCGCGAATTGGATTCCATATCTAATGAGGACCGGCGTATCGACAGAATCAAGGCGGAACTCATGAAATTATAAGGTAACACAGCAGGGTTTTCCTGTCCTATGAATTAGGACAAGAAAACTTGACTAGTCTATTGCACATCTGTGGCTTTGACCAAAGAGTTGAATTCTGTGGGATATCCCTTCCATTTAACGTTAAGCACTTTCACCCCTCCCCGGGTTCTCCGGCGCAAAACCTTCTCGATGCGGTAGATGTTTTGATCGGTCTTTTGAAGTTCGCGCTCATAGAAGGATCCCTGAATTTCCTCGCCGCTGAAATCCTTGAGGCGATAAGTGGGCGGCTGAGTGTTCAACACTAGGGAAATGGTGAATACTTCCTCGGTCCAGCGGGGTGTGTATCCCTTCTCGAATGTACCTTTCTTCTTTGTGATTCGGACTTTGTCGCCAGCACGAAATCGCGGTGGTTTCATGGGAGGTATGCTGCCGTAAAGGTTCCTATACACCTTGTTTTCATGCTCCTTGTGACTTGCGGCGACAGGGGTCATCTTGATGGAGCGGTGCTTGGTGGTATTGTACTGGC